GGAGTCTGGGCACCTAGATCTCTCTGGGCCAACTACTTACCTGTAAAAGGAGGGGGGAGATAACAGCCCCAAGGCCCTGTCTAACCCTAAAATGGTACGATTCTGGATTATAATATGGAAAGGAGAGAAAAGACTACTCCTGCCCTCTTCTAGCTAAGGAGCTGCTGAGGAAAGGCTTTTGTTTGCCATAAAGTGCTGACCCAGTGGGCATTTCAGTTACCACCCAGAAAGGAAACCAACCAGGACCTGGCCCAACCCTTTGCACCTTTGTCACTTTGTAGACAACTCCTGGCCTTCTCTGGGCCCTTCCCTGCCCTGTGCTACAAGGCGTGATCTCGCAGACTGGGGCAGAATTACTCTCACCTCATCCCCAAGAGAAGCTGGAATTAGCTGATCTTCCCTCACACGCAGAACTGTCTGCTCATGGGCCCACCTTCCCTGTTCTGTCCCCATAGCCACTGGAGGGGGTGTCCAGAGGAAAGGCACCTGGTTTCAGACAAGCGCAGATGGGGGATTGCATCCCAGGCACCGCTGGGCCCAGATGTTCATTCTGGCTGCACACAGCACAGTTGGAGGATCGCTGGGCAGAGCCATCAGCTACTTAATGGCATGGAAAGGAAATTCCATAGCAGCTTAAAATGTGAGCTGGATTTGGAGGAAGGGGAAAGAGGAGTCAGCCATTAGGTCATGGCGGAGTAGGGGGTTCATCGGAAGCTACGACCCCAGAGCAAGAGTTAATAAAGCAGAAACATGTTTATTAGGCATCCTTGTTCCTCACAGAGGAGCAAGATTCAGATCCAACGTGCCTATGAAATCTCCCGAGGTTGCAGGAATCTCCAGAAAATGCAGGCGCAAACCGGCCACCACCCCAAGAAGAACACTATTTGGCTGGAGCGTGACCACTGAGGTGACCCTGGCATGAAGCCGGAGACTCCACAAACACTGAGGAGTAGGTGGGGGGCACCAGGACACCCACCCAGATATTGGCAGAGGGAGGACCTCATGGCTCTGAGGACAAGCTGTCCTGGGTTAGCAAGGAGGAAGGGGGAGCCCCCTGCCCAGGCCAGGTCCTGAGGGCCCTCCCCAGACCCGCCTATCTCTCCTGGGCACTGCTGACTCAGTCCCACACATAGGGGTTTCTAAAGACCTGAGAGTTCTTGCTGTCTTTCGGTGGTGTGGCCTCCTGGTGGCTCTGAGCCGAGTACATGTCTTCAGCTCGCAAAGTCGAGTTGGCACTGCCCATCACCTGGCTGTTGGCGGTGGCCCGTGGGAGGATGACGTCGTAAGCTCCTTCGGACTGGAAGGAAGGACAGGCGGTCTCACAGTCAGGGGCTTTGGGAGCCAGGTTCCGCCAGGGCGGATGCACAAACACTCTGCTTCCTGCAGGGGTGTGCCTGCCAGCTCCCTCTCCACCACCCCTCTGCCCCTCTGGCTGGGCCCCAGCAATAGCCTGGAATGGCTAACTCCATTTCCAGAAATAGGGGCGCTGACCTCAAGCCCCTTATCTCACCCTATCTCTTGCCATGGGAACAGAGCCCCTGGTCACCTTGAGTGGTCCTGGGGGCTTCATAGAGGGGATCTTCTTCTCAAGCCCCCTCCTCCTTCCAATTCCTTAGGGCCAGTGGAGGCCAAATCTTAAGCCACACTGGGCTGCTACTGCCTATCTGGTAAAGCTCCCAGCCCCTTCCTCCTGGGGACCTTTCCCCAAGGAAGCAAAGATCACTATAATATACAACAGCATCTGGACTGGCTTCCCTTGCCAAGGACACCCTTCTGTTAGGCCCTGGGCAGGCCCATACATCTCTGCCCAAGAGTCTAGGCTGGATAGTTTCAACCTGGCCCTGCTGCTGTGTGGGTGAGACACCAGCTGTGGGGTGAACAGAGTCTGAGGCACCTGTCCCAGCTCCTACCTGGACGGGTGGTGAATTCCTGGCCCCACCTGCCTTAACCCTGTGGGAGGCTTGCCACCAAGCCTCTGTAGCTCCAGGGCCCCAAATCAGCCCCTGATCCAATCAGATCCAGGTGGTGTTCCCACCTATCTGCAACCTCCTACTCCCCTGTGGTCCCTGGAACACCCAGGTCAGTGGCCTCAGCCTTAGGTATACATCAGTACTACCTGACATTTGTTAAGTTATACCCACTTGTAGCAGCCCCCTGGGCCTCTGGGGTGGGCTGTAATGACTGGGTCGGGGGTGGGGGAGAGCCCTGACTTGCAGCATTCTCAGATCTGCACTGGGTGGTCATGCCCAGGTGGTAGATTTCAGGCTACCAAGGTGACACCATGAAGGGATATTCACCATTATCTCTGCCCACCTCTGGTCCCACCCCATCTACATTTTGAGCAAGTTCCCAGGGGATGCTAATGCTGGTGATCTGAGGACCAGTCAGATCAAATATTCTTGTTAGTCCAGACCAGGGGTCCTCAAACTTTTTAAACAGGGGGCCAGTTCACTGTCCCTCAGACAGTTGGAGGGCCGGACTGTGGGCCCTGGGATGAGTAGGCTGCTAAGCAGGACAGGCAGTGGCAGCAAAAACACCCGGCGGGCCAGATAAATGTCCTAGGCGAGCTGCGTGTGGCCCACGGGCTGTAGTTCGAGGACGCTTGGTCCAGACCAACCCCCAGCCCCCAAACACACTAGGGAGTGAGGGGCAACAACAGTAAGGTGGCTACTGATGCTCTGGTGGCTGTCCTTTCCCCAGGGGCTGGTGGCCAGAGGCCTCTGCCCATCATTGCTCCAGCTGCAGGTTCAGGCTCAGGGACAGGGAAGGAGCTGGGGCTGGAAGTTCAGACACATTTGCCTCCCCTTGCCCTCAGGCTCTCAGAGAGGCCCAGGGAGGGGATGGGAACGCCACCCCGTTGACCTTTTCACTTCCTGTTCCCAGCATCCTGCCAAGACGGGTCACTGACCTCTCCCCATGGCCACTGCCAGCCAGGAGGAGGCGTGTATATGGATAGTGGGAATCCAACCCACCTTCTTCCTGTTTCTACCCACCCCCACTCCTTGGCTAATGGAGCATCTGGTTTCCAGAACCCAGGGGAGAAGTAAGGTCGAGATGGGCTGCCCGCTGGTGGGGGAGGGGGAGGGTACTTAGAAGTAAGTACCTATACAGACCAGGCACATTTGGGGCCACGTTGGAGGTACCTGGCTGAGACCCTCTTTTGTCCCTCCCCAAACTCTATAGGGTAAGGCTGGCAACGCACTCCAGCTCCATGAGGGCTCATCCTGCAATCTGTATGCCATCCGCCCCAGGCTCTGAGCGACACAGGCAGACCCCAAAGCTCCAGAAAAGGGCATTGAAAACTGGAGCTGTTGGTTCCCCACAGATATACCAGATAAGAACCCCTTCCTTCTCCCTGCCACCTCCCCCTTTCCCTGTACTGGGCCATCTGAGGCCGGGCTGTGTCCCCTAGCAGGGTCACAGGGCCTTGGGGCATCCACTCACCGGGCCTTTGTGCATCAGGGCCATCTCTGTGGGCTGGTACACACTGGTCAGCAGCTGCCCATTGTATCCACTGTATGGTGACACTGGCCTCTTAGCTGCAAGGGAAAATAGAAGCCGTGTGAGGATTCCTGGGCTTTCAGCTCCCGTCCCCACCTCCCACAACCCAAGCAGGGGTCAGCAGAGACGAGAGAAGACGAGACCATGCCAGGCCCAGTGTAATATCTAACCCAGGTGTAGAGGACTCTGGGATGAGGTATGGATTTGGGGCCCCCCACCGAGCCCAGCATCCCTTTGTACAGATGCAAAGGAATATACCATGCTGCTCAGCTTCCCTGTAGTGTGGGACCACCCCCCCACACACACACACACCTAATAGCACAGAAAAACGCTCCATCAGCAGCCTTCACATCCCCATCCGGCCCCAGGGCCAGAGGCCAAGAGGGCACATGGGCTTTGGGCTGCCTTCCAAGATGGCGAGCCTCCAGCTCTGGCCTCTATTGCTGTGGGCCAGCTGCCAGGCCCTGGAGTAAATAGAACCCTGAGACCCCTAGGCTTGAGCCTCTTTATGTCCTCACGGGGCAGAGCTGGGTGCCTTCCCCACGTACTTACCCAGAGCCTAGCCAGAAAGGGTGATGCATGGCCAGGCCTGTGGCCCCCTGGCAAGTTGCCAGAACTCTTTTCAGCTTCAGGAATACTTCCCTGTGCCTTTTGGGTGTTGGTTTCCCAATGTGTTCCACCCTGCTGGGCGCTCCCAGGGTGTCTGAGAAAGCCAGTGACTGAGCCCTGGGGCCCAGGAGAGGCCCAGCTGTGGGGGCTAAACTGCAGAGGCCTGGCTCCTACAGGGCTGCGGTACCACAGCTCTGAGGGACCACAGCCTACATAGGGCTTCCTAAGTGCTGGCTCACCCGATTGATTTTTCCACTTAGGAAAAAAAAAGGAAAAGGAAAACTCATAGCCTCAGAAGTGTTTGCCATGAGGGGACAAAGGCTGAGAACTCTTTGGCCCTGACAAACAGGTATACAGAGGTGGGGGGCAGGGGACTTGAAGCTCCCCCTGAACCTGTCCTGCCCACACACCCTATGTGTGTGCCTGGGGCCACTCAGGGTAGAGCCAGCGCTCAGCCCAGGTGGGTAGATCAAAGAGCCAGTGCCCAGCAGGTCAAGGGTTACTTCTTCCCCCAAAGCAGGGGTTATGAGGATTTCATAGTTTGTAGAGAAAAGACAGGAATGTCTCTGATTCTGCCCTCCTGGTAGAGGCCCCAGAGCTGAGGCATGATAACCAGGCAGTTAAGAGAGTCTTAAGCCCCCCAAGCACCTGCCACAGCACAGACTGGGGTCAGGGTCAGGGCTATGGGATTGAGCCCCTGGCTTTCCAGGGCATGTCCAATGAAGGGGCTGCAGCTGGCAGGGTGAGAATACACAGGAGATGTATGCAATGGGACACACCAGGAGGGGGCGCAGCATGGGGCCTGGCACACAGTAGGTGCTCAATAAATGCTGGGGGGGGGGTCCTTAGGTAACAAATGTGCTGTTGAGCTCACCACATGGCACCATAAATGCTTTATTAAAAAGAAAAAAAAACTGAAAGAAAGACTTCCTTTTAAAGGAAGTTAGTGGTCATGGACATGTACCTAATAGAAAAACAAGTTCTGGGAGGATAATATATTAACAGTGAAAACAGTAATGCACACACAAATAGCTAATTCTTTTAGAGTGCTCTTCATGGGCCGCCAGGCACATGCACTAATCAATCTGCACAAGAGCCTCAGGAAAGATGTACAGTTTTGGGGGGGCGGAGTTTGAGAGAGTCTCACTATGTTGCTCTCCATATCCCAGCTCACAGCAAACTCAAACTCTTGGGCTTAAGCGATTCTCTTGCCTCAGCCTCCCAAGTAGCTGGGACTACAGGCACCTGCCACAACATCTGGCTATTTTTTGTTGCAGTTGTCATTTTGTTTAGCAGGCCCTGGCTGTTTGAACCCGCCACCCTGGTGTATGTGGTTGGCGCTATAAATACTGTGCTATGGGCACTGAGCCAAGATGTACTATTATTATCCCTGTTTTACAAAGGGGGAAATGAAGGCACATGGTGGCATCATATCAGTTAACAGTGTTCACTTCTGGGTATGGAACAGGATGGGATGCAGGTTAGAGATGGGGAGGCAGATGAGAGAAATTCTGTCTTATCTGTGTTTGAAATTTCACAATGAGAATATACATACACACGATTACATAAACAGAGGAAAAAATATTTTAAAAAATGGAATTTAGGGACAGTTGGGCAGAAAACCATGGCTAACCTTAAGAAACTTCTGTTTTGCTTAAGAGATTGACTCCCTGTTCCCCAGTAAGAGACACAGGGTCCCATGCAAGGCGTCTCCCGGGACTCACCTGCAGCCGGCTCATCCATGGAGAAGGCCTTGTTCTCCACAAACATGCTCTGACCCTTCTGCTCTTTCAGGATGGTCTCGTAGCCCACGCCCCGGGTGGGGTACATATCCCCCTGGTAGCTCTGCTCTGGGCTGGCTTTGGTCACCTGGGAGACCTCAGGGATGACATAGAAGAGGACGAAGGCCCAGGCATTGGCGGCGAGGGCAATGGCCAGAGTCGGGTCATCCCAGGTGGGACTATTGTGCTGCTTGTTGCCGTAAGTATACATGACAATCCACACGACCCAGATGGCAATGGAGGTGGCTGTGGTGAGTAGCACGAAGATGCCATGCTTGTGCCAGCGCTTGAAGCGGCCGCATAGGGTGGGCCACGCCCCCACGAAGGCACCCAATAGCAGCAGCATGACGTAGATGAGCGCCATGACGAAGTCCATGTTGGCGATGGCGCAGGGGGAGGCTGTGGCCCATCCAGCACTGTGGTTGCCCAGAGGGCCACCCTCCCCACCTCCCCGGACCAGAGTGAGAATCAGCCACTCCGTGTTGATGATGACTTCCACAAGGGTCAGCAGCAGAGCCACGGTGAAGACCACCCAGCCCCGGGGCCCGTGGTTCTTCCGGGTCAGGAAGTTGAGGGCAAAGATGTGGGCCACCAGGCAGGAGAAGCAGATGGCAAACAAGACCCCAAAGAGGAAGCGCCGGGAGGCACAGGTGGAGAAGTCAGGCTTCACCACATAAGCGAACACGAGGCAGAAGAGGCCCAGGGTCCCCAGCAAGAAGAACACCTGGGTCCCCAGCAGGCTCCGCTTCTTGGTGTCCTGCACAAAGGGGAGGCTGGCCACGAGGATGATGGTGAGCACAAACGTGGTGACAATGCCTGCCCCAGCCACTGCCTCCAAGATGATGCCCCAAGCCCCAGAGCGGTCACACAGGTTATAGTAGAGGGGGTTGAGGTCTGGGCTGCAGCCAGGTGGGGCCTGGTTCCCGGCCTGGGCCCCTGGGAACAGGAAGAGAGGCAGTCCCAGGAATATCAGCAAGGCTTTGTGGGTGGCCATCCTGGCATTCAGGCCAGGCTCCAGCTGGGTCCCTAAAGACAGAGCGAGAAGGAGTAAAATCAGTCCTCCAAAGCCAGACTTCAACATACATGGCCCAGCCTCCCCATCCTGATCCAGGGCAGATGGCGCTAGTTAAGCACGAGATAGTCCCTCTGGGCTTCAGAATCCTTCTTAACACAGAACTCCTGGGATAGATAGCAACTGAGCAAAGAGGCAAATAAGATGAAGCTCATCTGTCACCCCTATTCCTAGTCATGGAAAAGGAGGGAATTGTTATGGAATTTTTGGTTCCCTTCCCTCTACCTGAGTTCAAATATTCCTTGAACTCTTGCAGTCAGGGCCGAAGGGCGAAGGAGCTTGTGAGCAAGTTAAAACCAAGCATAGCACCCTTCAACATTTCCTCTCTGCCCTGTCAGATACAAAGTCCATGGCTACTCAGCCATGCATGCATTTATTCAATCATTCATTCATTCACTCAACAAGCAGCTGTAGCAGGCACAACTTGCAGCCAGAAAAAGTGGAGAGTTGAACAACCAAGCGAAATTATCCACACTTCCTCCTCCCTTCCACCACCTCCCTTTTTTGCCCTTCATCTTCCCACTTCTACTGCTAAGTCTCCTCTTTAGAATCGAAAGTTTTCTGCCTAGCTCAGATGCTGAAGTCAAAGACAAAATAAACTAATTCCCCAGCTAATTAATGACTTAATGCAAACATTCTCTCAAGAGACATTAACATTTTAAAAGCAAGAACTAGGCAAGGACAATGCAAAACCCAAAGGAGTTAATCTTTAAGGGAAGACTTTTAGACACTGTAGCCAGAAGACAAGAAAGATATCTTTTATTCAATCCAGGATGGAGCATTACATTTCACTCTATCTACTCACTATAGCTCTACCAAATGCCGATTCCTAGCCCCAATAACAACTGGATTTCCCTGAGTGAAGTGCAGGTAATGGTGTGACCCGTTAAGAGAAATTAAAGATCAAATCAGTGAGTTTTCCAATTAAAGGCTTTGAATAGAATTGGAGTACACCTAATACAGAAAATTTAAATGCTCTAAAAAGCAAGTTAATAAATTCTAAAATTCTGTGAAACAGAGGTACTGTATGTTTAATTCAGTGGACAAGTTCAAAGAACTAGTTGCAACTCCGCCTCATGGTGCCTCATCAGGAACTCTCCAGAAAGACAGCAACCAAGCTTTCCTGGGCTGATAGTGACCACTAGTGGCTGGATGAGGAATAGCATTATGTATAACGCACTATCCTCCCTACTACCTTTCTTCCTCCTTTTTGGGGAGGGGATTTGGAGGGTTGTTTGCCTGTGGTTTATCTTGTTACTATTTTCTTCCATTCCTGGCTTGACTACTTAATTTCTTTTCTTTTTCTTGAGACAGAGTCTCACCCTGTCACCTGGGCTAGAGTAACATGGCCTCAGCCTGGCTCAAATTCCTGAGCTCAAATGATCTTTCTGCTTCAGCCTCCCAAGTAGCTGGGCCTACAGTTGTGCACTACCATGCCAGGCTAATTTTCTAGTAGAGGCAGGCTCTTACTCTTGATCAGGGTGGCCTCAAACTCCTCACCTCATGCAATCCTCCCACCTCCCAGAGTACCAGGATTATAGGCATGAGTCCTAGCCACTGTACCTAGCCACCTGGCTACTTAATTTCTAATAGGCAAATAAAAATCCTAAATCTCAGTCCATAGAAATCATCTCTCCCCCCCCCCAAAAAAAAAAGAAAAGAAAGAAATCATCCTTCCATAATTGATAAGTGAAAAGAACACTTACTAAGTCAGGGGGAAATGAAACTCATAAAATTAAGTGAAACTGACAAAATAAAGAGGATCAATTCTCATAGTCCTTTAAAATATCCTGAATGGGACTTGAAAATATTTTAGGTATTTTAGCCATCTCAGCTACTTCCTCATCTTTCAGTTAAACTCGATTACTATTAACTTTTTTTTTTTTAGAGACAGAGTCTCACTTTATCGCCCTCGGTAGAGTGCAGTGGCGTAAACAGCCCACAGCAACCTCCAACTCCTGGGCTTAGGTGATTTTCTTGCCTCAGCCTCCGGAGTAGCTGGGACTACAAGCAGTGGCCACAACACCCGGCTATTTTTTTTTTGTTTTGCAGTTTGGCAGGGGCTGGTTCGAACCTGCCACCCTCAGTATATGGGGCCGGTGCCCTATCCACTGAGCCACAGGTGCCGCCCTACTATTTAACTCTTAAAATTAACATTCTTCCATAAACATACTATTGTTTTTCTAAATAACTGGGTACCAGAACAGCTAATTTCTCTTCACTTCTAAAGCAAAAGCACCATTTCTCTTAGTTTCCCTTACACAGTTTCCCCTACAGTGACTTAAATAAGCTTCCCTAAGGGACTTTGTGTAATTGTAAATCAAAGTACAACTGGACAGAGAAGAGATGGATCAGGGAGGGCTAATGGGGAAGGAGTAATACTGAGCCACTCCAGGGCAATAATTTATGGATAACAACATTTTATGGGATCCTAAATGTTCAACTCCATCTTGGGCATTTGGGGTCCACTAGGGATGAAGTAGTAAATGTGTAAGTGGACACTGAGAACAGACACTGCACCATCACCATGGGGCATCTACACCTTCAAGGCTTCTCCCCCTCCTCCACCCCGAGGGCCCAGTTTAGAGTAGGTAATTATTCCAAATCAGCAAGTATATTTACTGTGCATCCAGGGGACACTGGATCTTAGATCTGTGGGAAACACAAAGATGCACAAACACAGTCCTGACTTGATAGTATTTACATCTAATAGGTGAGACAGGGTAGCTATGCAAACAGTTACACAAGGAAGAAAATAAGTGTCAAAGAACAGAATTTACCTGCAGGAGACAGAAAGGTGCTATAGGAACACAGGAGAGGGAGAGGCCTTCCTACTAAGGGCCTCAGAAGAGGCAGAAGAGAAGACTGTTCAATAGCATTTAATTCAGTATTTAATAAAAACACACCAGGTCCCAGACACTGCCATGAGACAGGGACACAAAGCTAAGCCCTGAAGACCGTAAGGAAGGGCTGAGTAGGTTAAGGGAGCAAGGTGGAGAGAAACGGTGTGAGTCAAACTCTGAGATGAACCCAAGTTCACAGCAAGAGGAAAAAAAAATCAAGTTTGCCAAGTAATAACTGGGTTTGTAAAGGGAGGTTGCAGCTGCTGGTGACAGATGAGAAATTCTACAGGGGAGGACTTATTTTAATTTTAAAGGCAATGGGGAGCCACTGAAGGCTGTTTTTAGCACAATGAGGGAATAGCCAGGGTTGTGGTTTAAGAGATGAGTGGCAAAAAGAACCCAGGCCATTGATTTATTGGGGACACACTCATTCCAGTTTAAAGATCAAGGCCAAAGGTAAATCTGTAATGGCCAGATCTCAGTGATTCCTTCCAAAAACACAATCTAAGGACTGGTTGGATGTGGGAGGAAAGAATGCTAAAGTCTATGCTACTGGGTTCAAATCTGATACATGTAGTAGCCATATTATTCTAAAAACAAGCCAGGGACGCAAACCAACCAGACATGGGGCAAGAGTCAGGGAAGCTTCAAAACTGCCCTTGCTGCCAGCCCCCAATCTCCTCTTGTCTTTGTTGATGGTGACCAACAACTTGTTCCTGGTCTGTACCCTTCAAGTGGGGAATTCCAAGGAATGAAACAAGAGCCTTTATCTGCCCCTCACCCCTTCCACGTACCATGCTCCTGCCCAGCTGCCATGTAACTTACTAGCCTCAGACAAAACAACGTGTTCCCATCTGAAATCTCTTATTTCTCTGGTTCCCCCTGAAATAAAAGGGCAGGTGGAGAGAGAGAAATACACAGACTCAGGGAGAAAAATTGTCTGCTACCCAGGACAGGGGCCCTTGGAGGAGGCAGGAGAGTTAAAAAAAAAAGGAAGCTCAAAAGAGCTCAGCTGCTGCCCTCTGAGACCCAGGAATACACGTTCAGTCACCTATTAAAATGGTGGATTAGACCCTGCACTTAGACTGAGAATTCTGAGTTCTGAACATCTGAATCCCCCTCTCCCAGGGTCTCAGGTCTTTGAGGCTACTTAACAAGACTTAGCATCTTCTGCCCAGAACACAGTAGGCATTTAAAAATCACCCTCTGAACAGACACAAGACCCAGTACTGCCTCCGGGTACTCAGTACTGCCTCCTCCTTTCTGGGGTCACATCTGCTTGAAAGTTCTCAGAGGGTTCTAGGAGTGGAGTGGGAGGGGGACCTCCTCTTTCCCTGTCAGTCTCCCCTACCCAACAGCTGAAGCCCAGCCCCAGTCTCATATTATTTTCTGGACAAAAGGGCCCTTTTGCTTCACTTCCCTGGAGTCAGTTGTACAAATATTTTTAATCACCTCCGAAATTGCCCTTTCCCCACACCCAGCCACCCAGCCCCCAGCTCTGGTGTGAGTCAGTCCAATCCAGTTCCTGAATCCCCTTCCCCCTCCTGTCTCCAGGGAGAGCAGAGAGAGGACACAGTGGGTCTGGTGGGCTCAGAGGCCTGGCCAGCCCTGACCGGCTTCACCCAGCACCAGGGAAGACAGCAAGGACTCACCTTCCAGAACAACACCTACTTCATCACCTGCTACCATCTCCAAACCCCTGACATGCCCCCCACCCCCGAAAAACACCCAGGTCGGTCTCCAGGCTCAAGAGTACAGAGTAAGATATAGATCCAAGGCCAGAGGTTACCCTTGAGGGTGCTATGACCATTTAGAGCCCCTTTCCAGGGTGATGCTCACCCAGGGATACCACAGAGCATCCTCCTTC